TTGAAATTATCCCACATTAATATGTAAAAAGGATTCTAAAAAGGCTCCTATCAAAGCAAAGCAAGACATGTTTACTTGTGTAGCTGGACCTTTACTGTTTGGTTTGGAAATGTTCACAATGACACAATATAGATTTAGTGAGTAAGCAAAATCTCACTTTGAAGGAAAGCTTCAATGATCAAATTGTTGACTTAAGTATCCTCAAAGTCATGTATAAAGCAAAGTGCAATGTATTACCTGAAAATATTCAAAGATTGTTTGAGATGAGAACAAGCCACTACAATTTAAAAGGAACCTACACGTTTAAAAACCCAGATTCAGAACCAAGGTTATGGAGAGAAGCGTTGCTGTGAAAGGAGTTAACTTATGGAATAGTCTTGACAAAGAAATAAAAGAATCAAGTACAATGATGACATTTAAAAAAGATATAAAATCGAATGCAGTGTGTATGTATGAAAAAGAAAACTAAGTTGTGTATAATAATGAAGATTTACTGTTTGCAATTGATCAGTAATTGTGCCTGAACTGATATGGAATGTTTAGTAACCATTGTTGTTGATGTTTTGTCTTGAAAAAGGAAAGGGGGGCAGATAACATAAGATTTTTTTCTTCTTTCTGCTCCTTTTCATTCATTTCTTGTGTGTTTGATGTTGTGACACTGTCAATGTCTTTTTATGCTTTATGAAATAAATACATAAATAAAATAATCAAATCGCATTTTATATAATTATACTAGGAACCTACATATACAAGGAAAGGTGCAAATTACAGTGTAACACCTCTATAAACTATTTTTAACAACATGTTTGGAATGTGACTTTTTACATATACATTATTTTTGCTTAACTGACAGAATTTCAGTTCCTTTGGTAAGAAAAGTCTCAAAGTTATGATAAGAATGAATAGTGATGACTGTACTGAAGGCAAAACATTTTATTTAAAAAAATGTTTTGCTTCAAACGCATCATGCATGAAATAGTCATTGCCAAAAAATGGATGTAAAGAATTTGCAACTGTACGCCTCAATCACCAAGAGAAAGAGTGCAGTGTGATTAGTGGAAACCTGAGAAAGACTTTCACTGGACAGGGACAGGGAGGGCTTTGTGCTCCTTAACATCCAGGTTTAACCACAGACCTGAGACCTGGACCAGGACTGGGTCTGGTTTTGGATCATATCAAAATGGCACTATAGCAGTAGGTATAGGAGTGTAAGGATTCAAGTCAAGTCTTAGTTTAGTTCTTATTGATGTCTAAGTACAAAAAGAAGGTCTAAAAAATTAAGAATATATCCACAATATAATGTTAACCCTGTGGCTTAAAAGCAGTGGTGGAACGTAATGAAGTAAAAGTAACAGAGTACTGGTCTTAAAGGTGTTCTGTGTAACTTTTTGGTTGGGTGTCCAGCACCTGCTTCTTTCTAAGAGCATGTCATTGCTCTGTCTGGAATGTTCCACAGTATGATATTATACAGCTCTACCTTATATTTATTCAGTAACAAGTGCTTTGATAGCTAGAAAATACTTAGAAAAACAGGCATTCTATCTGTGAGCGGGGTGGCCTCTCCACAGATCTGACCTGTAACTTGGTCTGATGGTTTGGTCTCCATGAAGATAGAAAGGTTTAAAGCCACACTGTGAAACAGAGAAAGCAATAACATCTCCATGGAGAAAAGTATTGGATGGACCCTCCACCAGAAAAGTTACACAATGTTACACAAAGTACAAAATATGTACTTTCCACTGGATACTTTTTACTTTTACACCACTACAATTGAGATGAGGTATCTGTACTTTATACTCCACTACATTTTTTCACACAAATGAAAAGTAAAAGTAATTTTTATTATCATTTGAGTCCTGCTGAAAACTGCTGAAAACAATTGATTCAATTATTTCTACATTCAGCACAAATCTTCATCAAAATCACTACATTTGAATCTTATAAGACCATAAACTCCACACGAAATACTTTTACTTTTACTCTTTAAGTACATTTTTAAATGGGTACTTTAACAGACAGTATATGGACCGATCATTCCTCATGTGAAAGTTCAGAACATCCAAAAGATTAATGACTAATGACTGTGCTACAGGACAGTGCTGGAGTTTAGATAATGAGTATAGTTAAATAGTATTTGATTTGAACATATCATCATATCTCTGTATCTGTGGAATGCTTATGACATTTTAAAGCAAAAATACTGTTGCATTAATAATGAACTAGGTCTAAACTAGGACTAGGGCTAAACAAGACCAAATCAGACCTAAATCAGAACAAAAGGCTGAAAGAGAAGGACTAGACAAGGTCTCAGGCAAAACAGGACAAACCCTTAAGATTAATAATACAGTCTTAAATCATACTTTCAACAAAACTAACAGGGTATAAATATTATTATATTATTATTACATATTATTGAACCATTTACGGTGTTTAATTTGTGTCAAGAGGCTGGCTGGGTCAAATATAAAGGATTAGCAGTTAAACATTAGCAGCAGCTTCACAGACAAAGATAAGGACTCATAAATAAAAGTGAGATAGCACAAATGTGTCTACTCCCATGAATTTGTACACTTACTGGTAAATTTATCTAATGTTATTTGATAGTGAGATTTTTGTTAGTTAATGTTGTTTCCACAGCTTCTGAGCAATACTTACTAAACCCAAGCACAAAATAACACTATATGTCCTTTAGAAAATTAAAGTTAAAGGTGCACTATGTAACTTTTTGGATATGTCACTCCTCTGCCTGGAATGTTCCACGGTATGACATTAAATAGCTCTACTTTATATTTATTAAATTACAGGCAGTTTTATAGCTCAAAAATACCTAGAAAAACAGGCTTTCTTACTGTGAGCAGGGTTGCCTCTCCACAGATCTGACCTGTAACTTGCTCTGGTTTGGTTTCCATGAAGATAGAAAGGTTTTATACCATACTGTTAAACATTCTAAAGAAAGCAATAACATCTCCATGGAGACAAGAATTTGACAGATCCTCTGCCAGAAAAGTTACACAATGCACCTTTAGAGGGATTTTTTTTCTGATATTTGTGCCAATATTGGAAACTTTATTGATATTGATTCCTTTGAGAAAGCACATTTTTACAAACTTCCAGTCAGTAAATATTGCCATGTGATACCTCATTTTAAAACTCAGAACCTAAAGAATGCAGTCAGTGAGTTTATTTTACAATCCAAAGACAGTTATACTAGTAGTTAATCAATGTTCAGTAACACACTAAGGTAAACAGCGGTTCTGAGTCACTGATAAAATAATAGTAGAGGTGTATGTTTAGTCCAAAGGGTGATTCTGTGAAAAAGCAGAGCCTATGTCTGTCTCTAATACAGCCGCAGCTTCAGGACAGAAACTGTGATTTTAGTCTTATCTGTACTGTCTGAGCTGCTACTAATAAAGATAATGAGCTCAACACAGGCTTTCGATAGGGTTAGAGTGACGTATATGAAACATACAGTATGGGTTTGGCACTAATAAGGAGAGAGATGCATTTTTCTTCCCTGTCATTTCTGATGGTACTTATTTAGAATTTATTATTACCATTTATATTTTTGCTCTTTCTTATTATATTGTAATGTGTGAGCTACTGTGTCAAAATAATGTCCCTTGAGGATCAATAAAGTTTGTCTAAGTCTAAGTACCGTAAGTCTATATGAACTATCTCAAGTACAGTTAGGCCATGTCGTCAATAGTCAATTTAAAGATGCACTATGTAGCTTTCCTACTGGAGGGTATGCCACTTGCTCATCTCCATGGAGATGTTAATGGTTTAACTAGATTGTTCCTCAGTATGGCATTAAACATATTCATCTCATGGAAACATTAAAGTGGTGCATCAAGGACAGGTTACAGGTCAGATCTGTGGAGAGGTGACCTTACTCATATGCTCTCCTCAGGTGGCCTTAAACTCCATGTTGTTTAATAGGTCAGTATGCGAGTATAGGGGCATATCAGCTAATTTATCTACCTATTTATAGTTGATTTATTGATTTATTGATTGTGGTGACACTGATAATCAGTCAATATTACCAGTAACATAATGCATGGTTATAATTTTACCCAAGTAATACACACACATGTGCGCGCGCACACACAGACGCACGCAGGCACACACACGCAGGCCTACAGGCCCACACAGACGGAACAATCATTTTGGGGGTCAATATTTGCATAAACTGGTTTCAGTATTATCAGTGATCATCCATATTTTTTTCAGCAATATGTCAAACTTCAAAAATTATTATGACAGACCTACACCCACACACATATCCATAAACACACATACGCAATTCCATTCTTATATATTTGTCCATAGTTATTATTGCATTTGTGTAGAGTCAGTTGTTATCCTATTTATTTTATGTACTTATTTATTTGATAGGGACAGGACATATTAATGAACATCTGTAATTCCAGTGTGAATATGACAGATTATAACATTGTATTGTAACTGTTTAAATTGTTTGAATGCATTAAACACTGAGTGTAAGGTTGGCGGTTCGAATCCAGCTCTCGACATAAACATCACAGGTTGAGTGGTCAGATCCACTGACCCACAGATTGGCTGGTGTGATTCCAGCTCCCACAGATGAATGCTGTCGTTGTGTCCTTGGGCAAGACACTTAACCCACCCTGCCCACAGTGTCTGCGTACACTGGTGTATGAATGTGTGTGTGAATGGGTGAGTGGTTCCTTGTTGTAAAGCGCTTTGAGTGCCTTGAAGATGGAAAAGCGCTATAGAAAAATGTGACCATGTGTGACCATATTTTTTATTTACCTGTGCGGGTATCATATTGGTCTGTGACATGTCCCCTGTAGAGATAGTGTTGATGCTGGTCAGGATGATGGAGTCCTTTTTCTCTGCGATCACTCCATTGTGAATAGAGTTTTCAGGTTGTTCTACTGGAGTGAAATGACTGTGGCTGTGCTAAAAAAAAAAAAAAAAAGGACCACAAAAATCATTTATGACCCATATCAAACTGGTATGAGACTCATGAGACTGGAGCATTGAAATAATCTTTAACTGTCCAAATTTCCCAAGCAAACATTTCAGTATTAGAACTGAAACTGAATATACAACTGAACAGGTATCAATACTGAAAATTACACACAACTGAACTTCCAATTATTTTGGAATGGCCTTGATTTATATCAGAACAAGTATAAGACTGCATGGTAGCTGGTACTACATGGTTAAAGTACTATTATTTGTATTGTATTGTATTGCAAAATATGACATTCTACTGTATTAATTCTATTATGATTATGATTTTGCATCAAAATTGGTATCGAGTAATAAGTCTTCATCAATAATGAGTTATTATTTTGTTATTCTGACAGCAATGAAAGTAAGTACAGCTTTGCATCATATCTTCTTCTCCTGAACTGTTTAATGTACTGGTAAGCTTTGGTTCAGTCCTGGTTTAGTCCTGGTCTGGTACTAGTTTTATCCTTATTTAGTCCTGGCTTAGTCCTAGTTTAGTTCTGGTTTAGCTTGGTTGACTGGTTTTAGGCACATGACTTTTGTCTTACATCATGGTCCAGTCCAAGTGCCATTTTCAAAACCTTCTCCACAAAGAAAAGTACGTAAAATCCTCCAAAAATGCCCACTGCTTTGTCCACATAGTTGTGTTCTTTGGGATCAAAACCGAGGGCCTGTTGAACAAAGAGGAGTTTTCAAATGAGATCAAACCATTCATAAGAACATTACTATTTGAATATAGATGAGTGCATGTGTTACCTCTGGGATGAGCTGCAGCACTGCATTGGAGAACAGTGTCCCAATGGCCAAACCAATGAAGTAGGTCAAAACTTTTGGAAAATATGATTTCTTTGTGAACGGCAACAGAAACAAACCCAGAAGAGAAGCTAAGTTTATAATGGTGACAGCCAGGAATCCGTATCCCCAAACTGCAACAGAGGAGGCAGAGATAAACTGTTCAGCATAATACCTTAAAAAAATTTTGTGTACAATGTTTGTGTGGCTAAGGGAGAAGTAAACCAAGACTAGATAAAAAAAATAAAAAAAAAAACTAAGAAAAATCAAGCTCTCACACTATAAAACTTATGTTTTTTAGTGTGAGAACTTGACAAGTAAAATATATCAACCAACTGATGAAGTCTTTTTTTTCTTAATTCAAACACCATATGATTCAGTTTCTTATTTTAAGTACAAGTAGTTGTTGGTTTTCTTATCCTCACTGTAACTATTTGTATATTCCTATTTCAACTACAAAAACACTAAAGCAAGATTTTTGTTTTTGTACTTTACATAGTTGGCTGGAAAATACTTTACTCTTTTTAAAACAATATGAATCAATGTAAGGCTAATGACGGTGTAGTTGTTATAAAGTGTTACCTGATATTCATGTTATATGGAAATAATGTTCAAAGTAGAATTTTAAACAAATTAAATATAGACTTTAATAAACACATTGGAAAACACTGATGTGCAAAGCCAGATAATACAAGGTTTTAAAGGCTCAGGTCTATTGCGCCAAGTCTATTTCCAGCAGGTTACACATAAATGACTTCTCTTCTTTCTAAGAACCAGAAAACCAGCTGGTCTGATTCACAGCACTTAGACAAAAGCTGCTGGGTGACGGTTAATGTCGGCTCTCAGAATGTCAACATGAAAAACAGGGCTTGGGAGGTCAGAGGTGAGAGGTCAGATCAGGTCAATAACTTAAGAAATATAACACCTCAAAGAATGTGAATTGAAAAATACTTTGAATTGTCTCCAGTGTTAATGTTTTTTGTGCATTTTGATACATTATACGTTATTATAATATGCACAGTCCTCATTCAAATAGACACATAAATATAAAGATACACTGACTCCTTTTTTATTTTTATATAACAGTTTCAATTATTATTATTTTGTTAACATATGTTATTTTGTACCCAGTTTACAATAGTGCAAATGTCCTGACTGACCTTGGGTAAGTGGGTGACCTTGGAAACAGAAGGTCCTGAGTTCAAACATGCCATACAGTACTACCAGCTGCAGTAGTGGTAGTATCAGACTGAGAGATAGTCAAAGTATTGCTACTTACAGATGTAGCAGCAAGAAGATGGAGGCTGCCAATAATGCAAGTAGTAAGAAAAAATATTAAAAAACATGTTATTAATTTGACTCATGTATTGGTTAAAAGTTCACCAGTTACAGTTCACCATAATGTGCTGATATTAATTATGAATATTTGTGTAGTTAATAGACTTTGTGTTATGCCTGCTATTGATTCTGGTTCAGTCTTGTTTTAGTCCTGATTAAATCCTCTTTTGGTCCTTGAGGGTGCATTCACATTTGTTCCTGGTTAAGGCCCATGTTTAGTTGTGATGAAGACTCGGTTTGGTCCCATTCTAGTCATGGTTTAGTTCTGGGTTTAAAGATCACTAATTACACTTCTTGCAAGCTTTAATCCATGTTGTTACCTAAGAAAAAAACATACCCGGAGCTGCATTTTGTTTCATTCACACGTTTTAGTAACCCTTTATTATTAGTCTGTCTGCATCTCCAAAGCTCAAAACGCTCCATTCTACCTTGTGATGTCATGTAGTGGTAGTTTGCAAATTAACTTTTACCTTTTGTTCAGTGGAGATTGGCAATTCCAGGACACAAATCATACAAATGATTCTGAGAAGGTGTATGGAGCACTTCCTGTACTACCACATTACATCAACAAAGTGTTTTCTGAGAGAAGAACGTTGCCTGAAGAGTTTGTGTGTTAAACATGTGTCAATGAAACAAAACAAAACTCCAGGTATGTTTGTGATGAGGAAACATTATGACATACACTTAATGACATAGTGACAGAATTATGACATAGACATAATTATGGGCTCTTAAATCTTAGTTTAGCCCCAGTTTTGATGAGCTGTTCGAACAAATGTGAACACACCTTTTCTTCTTATCTAGTCTTGGTTTAGTTCTCACTTAGTCTTGGATTGTCCTGAATAGTCCAACTTAAGGACAACTTTATCTTATACTTATCTCAAAAGATTGTTTCCTGACACACTCCTAAGGTAATGCTATGGTACACAAAGGATACATTGACTTGTGTTCGTTCCCATGTTCTAAGTGTTATTAACAGATAACACCAAGCATAACTGATAGTTTTGTTCTCGATGCATTGATTTCCTGCCTTTTCTACAGATAATTGTGACAGGAGATGTGGCTGTGTCTCTGTGTTACAGTGAGTTGTTGTTGGATCCTCCGAGGTAATGACAGGGGGCACACAGACTACCATTCATTCAGACTGACGGAGCATTTACAGTAATTTATTCACTCATAAATATCTTTAGGCGGAGGCCCACACTGCTCCAGGACAAGCGGTAAAGGACAAGACACAACAGGAGACTATGGTGGAAGCGGTGGTAGGGGTACTAGAAGGTAGATACAACGACAGTATGGATGCACTAATCCAGCTTTTTCAGTTCTAATACTGATATCGATATTATGTCTAAGTGTATTCCAGTATTCAATATTAAGCGACACCAGTGTAGGGATTGAAAATGGCATTTCTTTCTCTGAAAGTACAGTTAACTTATTACAGAATACAATTGTGTTATGATGTTTGAACTTTAATCATACAAAGCTGTTCTGTAATTAATAACAGTATACATAAAAGCCACAAGAGACATCCTAGGCCTATATCAGTCAGTAAAAAAATCCAACTAGGATATTGTCTGAACCAATATCATGGAACTGATACCTGATCCAGCAATTTCTCCTGAATCAGTGCCAATATTCATTACCAGTATTGGTATCGGTGAATCCCTAATAGACAGATAAAATGATAAAATGATGGATGGTACACTAATACTTACAGTATTAGTATTAGTACTAAATAATAATGCATTTCATTTAATATATAGACTTTTTAGATACAGATTACATATATTCCAAACCTGGTGGTGTTAAGATACTATTGTAGCCTCAGCTGCCCTGGGGTAGACTGACAGAACTATGGCTGCTAATCTGCACCAACAGCCCCTCTAATCATCATCAATTACTAACTCACACACCAGATTCACAGTAGGTAATGTGCATGAAGTAGTAGTAGTAGTAGTAGTAGTACTAGTAGTAGTAGTAGTAGTAGTAGTAGTAGTAATAATAATAATAATAGTAATAGGTAGAAGTAATAGTAGTAATAGGTAGTAAGTAATAGTAGTTAGAAGCAGTAGTAGAAGTAGTAGCAGTAGTAGTTAGTTTAGTACCAAAACAGCAATATTACTTTCAGAAATGATACATCTGACATGTTGTGGTTTTTCAGGCTCTAAAGAAATACTTATAAATACTAAGACTTAGTTTTACAACAGTTTTCCCAGCACTGTCTGACTTAAACATACTGAAAAAGACAAGTGATTCATGTTCACTTCCGAATTCAGCAGTGAAAGTAGGACCTCTCTGTTGAACCCTTTTGAACTGTGAATTATGAGAGGATGAAAGGATTGGCAAAACCAGAACTGTGTGGTGCAACAGCTTTAGAGCAAAACTCTAAATTACTTTTTAGGGGGGTTTATAACACAGTTTTGTGGTGAACTGCCTGTTGATACAATTTCTACTTGTATATTTGCTTAGGTATGGTTTAGTCCTGCTACTAAAGGGCCCATATTACGCTATTTCTGATCTATATTTTAATGTTGTTTCTTCATCTAAAACATACCTGGAGTTGTTTAACACACAAGCCCTGCATATTTAGACAGACTTCTTCACTCAACCAGTATTACCTCTGTTCCACCTTGTGATATCATGTGGTAATACATGGAGTTTGAAAGATTTAAGCCCTGGACTTGCCAATCTCTACTGAACAAATGCTGGAGCTGGAGGTTGCGAGATAATTTTAAGATATTAATTTTAATATTATGACACTGCATTTTTATCTAATAGTATCTAATATCTAATAATCTATTTAATTGAAACTGGGTAATATGGTCAAACAAATCTGCATTTCAACATTCAACTTGATTTAACATGTTTTGCCACTTGAAATGATTCACAACCATCAATTTTATTGTGCAGTGGGGGTCCCAAATCTTTGTTATTTTCGGGGTCTCAGCCTGAAAGCTTTGTAAATTTCTGCATTAGGCAATTCTCAAGCAAGCTAATCTAAGCAATCTAACTTTGTGTAGTGGATGAACTGTCACAACCGATGATCTACTTCTAATACTACTGCTACTAATCTCTACTGAACAAAAGGTAAAAGACAAAAGGTAAAACTGTTTGATTCTTTCAATATGAAGATAATATCACTGTTAATATCCCAGAATGATAAATAATTAGAGATAAATAGATTTTAGTAAATAGTAAATATATAATAAAATACTGTATCTTATGAAAACAGGGCAGTGGCTCAGTCTACAGACAGGAGGACAGATTTACTTACAGCCAGTTAATTCCTGGATTAGTAACACTTAAGATCAGTGTAAACAGTATAGTTATAGAGAGATTATAAGGTTCTAGCTGTGTTCTGGGTAGCACTGAGATAATGGAGTTTTAAAGTTCTGATAAATGGAATCTGGACATTTAGTTCACACATATGAACCTAGAAATATTACCAAACCCTACAATTCTGGATAAAAGATGTATAGATATGAGCATTCAAGAATATAACAAATACATTTTGACAAAAATGTTACATAGAACAATTCTAAGGGGGACTATTTGTTTGAAATGAAGCCACACTGACCAGAGTAGTCGACGGGTGGCAGGGTCTCTGGGACGGTGAAGGGGCACGAGGGCAGCAGCACCTGGGTCAACACGGCCGGACACAGCCTCTCCAGATGTTCCACACTCAGCTGACTGAGGTTAGCCAACCCCGACTGAGCCAGGATCTGCCCCGCCGAAAGACACTAGGGTTGCACAGGGGGACAAACAGAGAAGAATAAGTACAGTTTAAAGTACATCAATGGAAAGATTAAGAATGAGGTTTTGGTCAATATTTTAGCTGTGTGAGTAATGCTACAGACCTATTAAATATGTTGATTTAAAGTTACAACAAGTCATAAATTTCCATAATATAGAGAAGATGAGATATATTTGTATTTTATTTTTACTTGTACATATGTTTTATATAATCATGCCTTATTTGATACCAGTCTCTTGCTATATTTGCTACGTATTTTAAATGTATTATTACCGTTTATATTTTTGCTCTTTGTTATTATAATGTTTTGTGACGTGTGAGCTACGTCCAGACAGTTTCCCTTGTGGATCAATAAAGTTTGTCTAAGTCTAAACATTTGTCAGCAGCGCAGCATTTGTCCAACAATTCAAAGTGCAGCGGTTTGAGTCCAGCCCCAACGTTTACATTCTGCCATTGTGTCCTTGGGCAAGACACGTTCTTTTGTCCTCCTATGTACACTGGTGTAACAAGACTTTCAGCCCATGACTACTATTCACTGTGTTTTAATTAGCTGTTTGTTTCAAGTTTGTTCACATGTACTGCCCTAGGTAAATAAACACTATTACAACTAAGTTATAAATAATAACAACCTTCATAATATGTTATTTCTACAAATCTACTAGTTAACACGTTTTAATAAGAGTTAAATTTCTTCCACCTTGCTTGTGGGTTTTACAGATAGAGCCTATGAATTGGTTTGGTGAGACAGCTGTGTATAATTTTAGAACACCTTGAACAATATTAGTTAAGTGTAGAATATTTAGATTATGTACTTTCCACACTTGTATGACTGGCTGCATTATATTAGTGTAATAAATCGTTTCCATCTTTACCCTATTGTTATAAACACCACAATGGTACAATCGCGGCGCAAAAAACACGTGATTGACAACGCTTTGTTATAAGAGTTAATTAAAATTCTTGTAGGACTCGTACCTTTTGGTTAGCAAGTGGATTGTTTACAGTAATAGACTCTGGTCTCCTGGATGAAACCAAATACAACAATTCCTCCAAGTGCCCTGTTGAAATCGTTTCATTTTGCCTAAAAAAAAGAATGATGTTTTCCAAAAAGTTCGGTCCATCTTGCGTCGCTGCGCTTTGATAGTTAACAATGAAAGAAAACGTGAACAAATGAAACCAATTCTCCATGTTGTGGTTTTAACTCAAAATGCGTCTTCGGATGTTTCAATTAAACTTCTTGTGATGCAGAAAGACGCATTGTTCCTTAAATTATCCGCGTCGATTTTACGCAAAGATGGATTAATGGACCACGCACGCACAAATGTTTTTCTTTTACTAAGCCCAAAAACGTCGCCTGACTAATCGATCCCCTAAGTTGGTTCAAAGTTCACCCAAAAGGACGCGCGGGGGACAAAAATGGAGATGACCGACCTCGTGCCACCGACCCACTTGCAAAAAGCTCCGTATTGTGGCTCACTTGGTATGCAACGTGCCCGAGAAGGGGCCACACAATGCAACCAGACAGACGCACAAACGCAAAGGACAGTCAGTGGGACCGAGGTTTTAAAGGGGGAGAGTGGGCTGGTCAGAAAGAGGGGTGCCTCCTGTGGTTCAATTAAGAAACAGCTGGTGACAGTATAAATGATATAAACATTACTTTACACGCGGGTCGGGCGGAAATAGAGAGCCGTGAGGGCCCCTGGTGGTGAAAACGGGTTAGTGGAACTCATTCATGTTATTCAAGGTTTGTATGTGGGTTAGTATGTGCAGGGGTTTTCAATTTTTTTCAAACGGAAACTATTTGGCATTTCCATGTGTTGTACTAGGCCAGTGGGGGTCGCTAGGCACTGAGCTGGAGGTTGCGAGATCATTTTAAGAAATTCATTGTAATATTATAACACTGTATTTAATCTAACAGGCGTATTTAATTTAAACTGGGAAATTTGGTCTGCATTTCAACATTCAACTTGATTAAACATTTTTTGCCATTTGAAATGATTCATAACCATCAATTTTATTTTACAGTGGGGGTCACAAATCATATGCTTTGTTATTTTCGGGGTCTCAGCCTGAAAGCTTTGGAAATTCCTGCATTAGGCAATTCTCAAGCAAGCTAATCTAAGCAATCTAACTTTGTGCAGTAAATGTTAACTGTCATAACTGATGATGTACTTTCACTACTATACAAGTTCAAGATGGTACAATGTTCAACTGTTGGGTAAAGTATTGTTTATCCAACAGTAATGTAATTAGCAAAAAGATTAACAATTACGTTTGATATTAACTCCGGAGATTGTTTCAATAATGTCCGGTAGTAATATACCTCAATGATGCCAATAAACGTAAATTAAAAGGATTTCAACCCGTCAAGGTCACATCCAACAGGAACTAATAATCTCTACTCTGTTAATAACAAATTGTAATCACAGATCGCGGCATATATTTTATATACATATATATATATATATATATATATATATATATAAATCTGACAATAGAGAGAGGCCAAAACACATTCACATTGCTGCAGTTAATTGCAAGAAAATAAAGAATGATTCAAATGAAAATAATATTACAATCCCACTGTTTCCAGTTTTGTGTTTTAATCGAGCAAAGGTTAACAGTTTATAAGAGCAAGTTTCTCATATCATAATCCATAGAATAATTGAAAATCTTTTATTAAAATTTAATTATAAAATAATGTGTCCATTTCAGGTCATTCAGTACATGCACCAACTGAACTAATTTATGACTTGACTTGTCTTTGATTTACAACTGTTGCTTTGATATTGTATAGTGTCAATTTCCTGAAGAATTTGCACATCAAGGACAATGTTCACCTCACATCAGGTCATAACAATCAATATAAATGATTAATTTAATCAACTTGCCAAAATTTTGCATTAAATTTCACCAGGACCCATATTACACTATTTTCTGATCTCTGTTATAATGTTTGCTCATCAAAAACAGACCTGGAGTTACATTTTGTTTCATTCACACATGTTTAACACACAAACTCTGCATGTTTCAGCTGAGTTCTTCTCTCAAACAGAAAAACTCTTCCAACTTGTGATGTATGTCATGTGTTAATACAAAAAGTGCTCCACTGTGTTTTTAAACTCCATACGCCTTCAGCAGAATCTTTTGGATAATGTCAGCCCTGGAATTGCCAAATTCTACAAATAAATAAATAAATAAGTACAAACAAAAGGTAGGTGTTAACTTGAAAACTGCCACTTGATGACATCACAAAGAGGAATGGAGCATTTTTACCTTTGGTGATGTAGACAGACTAATATTAAAGAATGTGTGAATGAAACACAAAACACAACTCTGGGTAAATTGTGGATGAGGTAACAACATTCTCACATGGTTTAAAGTTCACAAGAGACAATTTTGCGTAATATAGGACCTTTAATAATGTATTACATGCGACTATTGACTGAGGTAAAGTTCTAATAGAGGTATCTGGTAACTTTATTAACTATTGTATGAAAAAAGACATGACATTTATTTAAAAAAATATATAAACTTTAATTATGGATCATATAAAAATATATTAATATTTTGTCAGTGCAGGAGTATGAAAAAAATAGTGGTCCTTGGTAATGACTTTATAATAACTTAAATTTACAGCAATAATAATGCAGAAAGACTTCATTCTTAACAACATTCATTTATTAAGAATGATTCAGGTTTAGTATCAAGTTAGGGAATTAGGGTTACTAAGCCTGAATCATTCTTATAAATAATTTGTTGATCATGAATTAAGTCTATCTTTTTTTTTTTTTTTGCTTTATTAAGGCTATATAAGCTGTAGATGCTGTGAAGATTAAAACATTTTAAAGTGCTCGGCATCAGAATAAGACATAACTTTTTCACAAATCTCAAGCATAATATCCATTGTGATACCTGTAAAAGTCATTTTTTCCCCTCAGTCAGTAAACATCTCTTAATGTTTTGATGGTGAGATACTGGCTCAGCTCAATGACGGTGGTGGGTCTCCAGGGGTAAAAAGTGACTGTTATGTTGGTGGTGACCATCAGGAATCCATTTGAGCTGAAGCGCCCTGGGACAGCGCCCATGTCCAGCCACACAAATGGAGCAATGGCATCAGACTGGAGGAACACAGAGAAGGCCTCACCCTCCTTCAACACCTTTGCCTAAAAAAACCCCACAGTATGTTAAGTTAAAGGTGCACTTTGTAACTTATTTGCAGGGTCTGCTACCTGCTGGTCTCCACTGAGATATTACTGTTTTGACTTGATTCTTCCATAGTTTGGAAATAATGCTAATCATAATAGAGACAGGATAATGGTCAGATCAATGGAAAAGCAAGCCTAAACATGGTAAGAACTTTTTTTTAAAGAATTTTGAGCTGTAAAACACCTGTAATTGAACAAAGTGAAAGGAAATATGTTCAACAGCCTACTGTAAGACATTCCAGGCAAAGGAATAACATCTCCAAGGAGACAAGTAAGTAGCTGACCCTCTACTTTAGATGATACACAGTGCACCTTTAAGTTAAAGTATATTGTAGCATAAGGACACATTTGTCTAGGGCACAGGGCATAGGGCATTGTGCACACAATAAAATAAAATTATTCTTAACTTGATTTGTTCTAAAGACCCAAGAACTAATCAATAATAAATCAGGTATAAAAACTAGATACTCATTTGAACAGGTAAAATACTGAACAAAATAAATAAATAAATAGGTGAAAATTTGACATTTCCTGAATAGTTTTATAATGGTTTGTACTTGTATCAAAGCTACTATTAGTTCTGCAAAGTATGTTTTTTGTATTCTATTCAGTCAGCACATTGTTAACAACTCCAGGAGCAATTTCAGAGAAGACTGAAATATTAGCTCCTAAAGTAATACAAAAATCACATGTATTTCAGAACATGTTTGCAGGGTTTAAACTACTAGTACGAGCTATTTCTAGAGAGAAGTTTTTGAAGACAAGATATTCTCTAAATATTTGCAGACTGCAATTTGATAACAGTACCAACTGTTTCAGATTTCGATTCAATTGTGATGTACTGTGCCGACGAGAGGATTTTGACAAAAGAATAATCGTGAATATATGTGTAGAAAATAGAAGAAAGGGAGATTTATGGGTGCAATAAAAGAGGACATGAAGCTGGTTGTTGTTAAACACAAGAGAGGAAGGACTGGGTTAGAAGAGTCAAATTGTTTCTTACAGATATGTTGGATCGTTGGATGCCCTGAGCGTCTTTTAGTGGAGATAAGAAGTGGTAGTTGGTGGGGCCCAGCTGTTGTTCTTTGCTATCCTCCAGGTGAAACGTAATGAAGCAGGACTGACGTGTACATCCACAACCCTCCAGCAGGGGGCGACTGGGCTGTTGGTAAATGTTCACAGCGCTGCCTCCAGGGATAAACATTGGAAATTTATTGTATATTGAGCAGACAGGATTAATGCTGGACCATTTGTAAACAAAAACCTAAAAAAAAGGAAATATTGTCACATTGTACTCTCAGAACTGAGCAAAACTGCCATACATATATTAAATAAAATATGTTATGTTTTAAAGTTTTGTAGGGTCATTGCAGTATATACTTTTCGCTTTTTAAGATGGTACTATGCGCAGTTATCTATAGCTGTTTAAACTGGATTATTATGAGAAAATGTATTTAAAATTATTATTATTATATATATTTTTTTACATACAGCAGAAGCAAGCCAGACATCTTCACTCAAATCTGAAACAGCGTAAATGAAAAAATCATCTTCATCCTCAAATCCAACTGGCAAAACTGGAGCAAAGAAGTTTTGAGCAAAATAATGAAGCATTTTCCACTTTCCTCCAAACTCTGAAAAACAGAAGTTGGGCAAAATACTGTTACCAAATAAAAGTAGATGAAGATACGAGTATACTTTACAAAATAATGCATAATTCATCTAAGTGGGGTTCTATATGTTTTGGTTTGAAGAAGCTATAGAAGTTGATTTGGAGACATTTTGTTTCTCGTTTCTGAATAGTGTTGTCACTCACCGATCGATGACCATGAAGGCCCCTGCCAGATGTCGTTTAGCTGCCAGTAGAGGGCGCCCATGGTCAGACCTTTACCTTTAATAAGTTCACTTTGACTTCTTCTGTAAAACTCACTCTGGGCTTTCACACACTGAGCCTGCATCACCTGAACATTAAACATAATTTATATATATGTGATTACTGCAGTTTTGGAGATTATTTTTTCTCTTCTCTTTTTTCTTCTCTACTGAACAAAATGTAAAAGGTTAACATGAAAACCACAGCTTCATGACATCACAAGGTGGAATAAAGCATTTTGAGCTTTAGAGATGTAGACAAGAGTCATAACGAAAGGTTGCTCAAACATGTGTGAATGAAACTCCAGGTATGTTTTGATGAGCTAACAACATTCTAATATGGCTTAAAGCTCATAAGAGTAAATTCTGTGTAATATAGGACCTTTGATATATCCCACACAAACAGGTGCTTAAATTACTGAAACTTTTCCTTCTTTGATTTGATTTCTACTCTTAGGTCTCATGGGATTGTTTGAAGCACAGAGCCCCTTTAATAAAAATCTTTGTAACAGTTCATAGATTAGGAGAAAATTCAGTTAGTCGACTGGACAAAAGTTAGTTTGGTTGAAGACGTTTCGCAGCTTGGATGAGCTACCTGGACGACTGAGGGATTCTTCACATAGTTCATAGATCTCATTATTATCTTGTAATTATAATGTTATTAATGTGTATTTTCATACCTGTGTGATGTACAAAGTGTCCGTGTATCTCTTGTTGATGTCCGTGGAGTTGGGGAGGTTGTAGTGCAGAGCGGCCTGCTGTAACATCTGCTCGTTCCCGTCGCCATGGTGCTGTCGATGGGACGAGAAAGCGCTGTCGTATCTGCGGTCGTCCTCTGTGGAAACCTAAAGGGTCAGAAAACAGTTAAGTTATCATAAATTTTAAGCTAAATGCCCTTCTTGATGTAATCTTAGGCCTGGTAGAATCTGCATCAACCAGCCAGTCCCTTCTACATTCTGTTAGGATCTAAAAGGGTCTGGAATCAGAATAGTAAATGAAAAATCTCTGTCCAAACTTGAGACAGTCCAAACGCAGCTGCTAATTTGTAGCACGTGTCCTTCAAATGCAGAAGATATCTCCTCTTGAAAATTCAGAACAAAATATATAACTTCTTTTACCTGAAATATGTAAGTTTTTCTCCTTTTTTATGCATAAGCAGCCATGTTTATCTTTGATGCGAATGGAGCATGAGTCTCTCTGAGAGCATGCAGTTCTATGTATATGCAATATTTTAATCATGCAAAATATGAATTATGTTTTTGCTTTCAGTTATATGGAAAATATTGAGGACTTGTTCACCATTCAACATACAATATTTTTATATTCAGGTAAAGTGAATTTCCTTCTGAATAAATAAAGTATTTATCTTTCTTATCTTTCTTATCTATCTATCTATCTATCTTATCTATCTATATGAGTTACCTGTTGCAGAGTGGAGAGGGAGGGCCAGGACTGAAAGCCGTACTCAGAGGCAAAGCGTGTTCTGGGGAAGCTGGTCCAGTCTAAGCAGTCGTGAGTGTAGCTGTAGAAGTGAATGTCTCCATAGAGCGGGTCATAAGGGTCCACAGCCACCCAACCCTCCTGCTCCGACTCAGCTCCATTTGTGGGACTAGAGACAAGGAACGGCCGACTACGGTCCTCCTATATTAGACACAAAATTATTAAACTACAATTTCAAAAACTCAGTGAAACATAAACACAAGCTCAACTCACAGAAATATACTCCATTAACAATTATTAATAATAATTACTTAGAAATAATACTTGTATAATAATAATAATACTTATATATAATGCTATTCATGTTTATGTTCTTAATGCAGTGTTTACTGTTCTGATTTCAGCCAGTTTCTGAGAATCTGAGCTTTTTCATGGTCATTTGTCATGGTCAGGTCATGTCAAATAATCTTGGAAATTACTGAAATATTCCCCATCATTTAAGACAAAAATCATACATTTATAGTAAAAAATTTGCCACTATAGCCTCAAAAAACTAAAACAATCCCAAACTTAACTTTAACTTCCCTAATAAAAGTGTAAGTATGATTAAACAGGGCTCTCACCTTTAGCACAATGTCCCTTATGTTGTTGACATACAGAGTCACATAGTCCTTCACATATTTCGGTCTTTGGGTCCCGGGGATGTCAAACCAGTCAGTGGCTAGAGCTGCTTCATTTTCATTATTACCACTCCAAACTATTATCGAGGGGTGAGACTTCAGACGCTGGACCTAGAAATGACAAATACTTAAACGACCTACATTACATTGTATTACTGTAAGTGAGTTTGTCTAAAATTACCTGTTGGATGACCTCTTCTCTCACTGATTGTATGAAGTTCTTCTCAGTTGGATACAAGGCACAGGCAAACATGAAGTCCTGCCAAACCTATAATGAAAAATTTGATGCACATATTAAACAAGATCAAAAGATTACTAGCTTTTGATGCTAAATTAAGGAAATAGACACTTCTATTGTAACATTCTAAGGTAAGACCAAAATGAACTTAGATTCAGAAGAAGATTACACATTTTTACTTTTTGAAAGACCTAGTTTCAATTATGTAGGCAAAGTGATTAATAGTATCAGTGTCATATCAATAGTATCAGCTAATTGGTGCAGCTTGTGATATGGTATAGTAACACATTAACCCAGTATACTTTTTAGCATTGATTCAAAAATTAAAAAATAACAAGACTAGATTGTATTAAAAGTCTAGACAATGAATGAAGAGGTCACACTCAAGAGGCAAAGTCACAAGTAATGTATTTGCTTTTTACTGACCATGATTCCCATCTGATCACAGAGCTCATAGTACAGGTCCTGCTCATAGATTCCTCCTCCCCAGACTCTGAGGGCATTCATATTGGCATCTGCCACAGACTGCAACAAGTTCCTCAACCTACAGGGGGAAGTGTGATTTTAAGAAATTTACTGTATGATAGTCTTACATAGTGCTTTTCCAGACGCTCAAAACTGCTTTACAATTTTCAGGCATTACTCATTCACACCATACTCCATACATGCCTTGGGGCAG